CACACACACACACACACACACACACACACACACACACACACACACACACACACACACACACAGGTCCGATCATAAATCAATAAGCTCAGAAGTGTGATTAGATGATGTTAGCTAACAAACTGCTTATTCATGGCGGCACAAAAGCTTTTCAATCAGCACACCGAGCCAAACAGCTGACAGAAATGCAGCCCGACTGGCATTTTTTTATTTTTTATTTCTATTTTTTTTCCAAGCAGCAGCAGTTTGCAGCTGATGGCTTAAATGATGCAACAGTGCAGCCAGCTTAATGATTCAGCTGTGGTTCCTCTTCGTGTCGTAACGCTCGGAGCAGACACAGATATAAACCACTCAGCTCCTCTGTTTAACTGAATCACTGTCTCTTCTGCACAGCTGATGCCCTTGAGGTAATTTGAAAGGATTTTATCCTTAGCTTAAAAAAAGGCTTTAAGACAAAAATTAAAGGGATTACTTTAGGATGTGTATCACCAACAGATTTAAACAAATATATTTTCTTTAGGGTGAAAAATGACAGTGTCATGGTTGTTTTGGTCTCAAGTTTAGCTCAATATCAGTAAAAACGACTGAGTTTGAACATTTCTTTAAAAGTTTTTTAAGGTCCTAGCTGAGGCAGAAATGCAAATAACTTAAAGTGCCTGTGACATCAAATTTTTGTAATAAATATGAATGCGTTTTTTTAAAATATCAGAAAATATATTGCAAAAAGAAATTTCACGACGCTGAGACCAACAGTTGCTGAGATAATTGCATGTGAAGTAACAGGAAGTGATGTCAAAGGGGAACATCAGAGCATTTATACAACGACTAATAACACAGACTGTAGAGAGAGAATCTGACTTTTTATTATTATTTATTATTATTATTAGTTTGAGTCTCTATCAGAGAGATGGAGAAGAGTAAGAGTTCAAAACATATTGTGTAAATAAACAAAAACACTGAGTTTTCTTTTTCTTAAAGAGTTCCCCTTTGATGTCACTTCCTGTTTCACTTTGTCTGAGCCAAGTTCAAAAGAAAATCTGCCAGTTATGAGACAAAATGGGTAAAATCATGTGAATGATGCCACGTTTCTTTATTTAAGACACGTCGAGTTCATTCACAGAGGTTTTCTTTGTTTTTTGTATTTGAAGGATTTGCATGTCACAGGCCCTTTAAAGTTGTCCTTAAAGTAACCTTGTTGTATCTTTTTGTACCCTATTTATCTTATCCTATCTTCCTAAATCTTATATTAATGTACCATATATTGTGTATATAAGAACTGAAGCACCAGCTGAACTGAAACAAAGTGAAACAGAAAATCTAAAATCTGTCATGAAATGACCAAAGACCTCAGATCTGACCTACATCCTGCGGTGAGTCACAACTTCCTGGAGAAAGTAATTTATTATTTTTGATTCGACCGTCTGATTGAACTTCCAGCAGTCATGCGACAGGTCAGACTTGTTCATTATGTTTCTTTTTATTGTTTCATTTTTATCTGTCGGTCCACGTAAACAGAGCTGTTCTCCAAAGTGGGCTTTGCAAATAAATGTTTGGTCTTGAGTAGAAACAATAAAGTGAGTGAAGCCAAAATATATATTCTACATAAAAACAGCTCATTTCATCTCAAACTGAAGTTTGACTTCATACAGATGACACAGAATGTGGCGCAGTCACGAACTCCACCTAAATCTAACAAGAAAAATAAAAAAAACTAAAATCCTTCCTGTAAAAAGGAACAAAGTGTTTAAAAAAACTGAACCAAACCAGATTTTTGTTTTTCTCTGTCAGCTTGATGCTAAATTTGCATCTCATTATTCCTCTCCAGTTTATTTACAGAAGCATTAATAATCTGACCTCATTTTATTACAGCATCAGCAGGTTCAGACATCTATAAAACAATCAGTAATATTTTTATTCAGATTAAAACCTCTGCTCTTTGCACATTAAATCAAATTTGTTGCTGATACTCCAGAATCTTTGAGCTACATTTTTTAAATTAAAGCCATCTTCATGCATAACCTCACAGAAACAACTTCCTGCATAATTGTAGTAGAAATAAATATTAATCGCACAAACATTCAGATTTATTTTTTTCCTCTCTCTGTCCTTTTAAAGAACCGTCCAACCCCGTGTCAGCCTGTCTGCTGTCCTCTTCCTGTTATGTAACTGTCGCAGTTCAAGCTGATGGCCAGTTTGGCACAGAGCTGCATGTGTCCATGCGTTCACTTGGGTTTTGTTCTGCACTGTTTTATGTGCTTTGTTGGAACTGACCTGTCTCTGGAAAAACATGTTAAAAATTTAGTGTCTACATGTTTTTTCCAGCTGCGTAACATTTCTAGACTTCGGTCTATGATGTCTGCCTCAGATCTGGAAATGGTCATACACGCTTTTGTTTCTAGCCGCCTGGATTATTGTAACAGCCTGTTTATGTGCTTGAACCAAAAACAGCTACATCGCCTCCAACTTGTTCAGAATTCTGCAGCTAGACTTTTAACTCGAACTTCTAAATCTAGTCACATCACTCCAATCCTGTCAGAACTTCACTGGCTGCCTGTTTATTTTAGGGTCCGGTTTAAAATCCTCGTTCTTATTTAGAGCCGTAACAGGCCAGGCACCTGCCGATGTTAGGGACATGCTCTCCACATATGATCCAGTCCTCTGCTTGCGCTCTCAGGATCAAAATCTATTAGCTGTTCCTGGACCACACTATAGGACCCGTGGCGACCGGGTTTTTTCGTTTGCAGCCCCTAGCCTCTGGAATGGCCTTCCCTTTGAGTTACAGCGGGTAAAATAAGTATTGAACATGTCACCATTTTTCTCAGTAAATATATTACTAGAGGTGCTAATGACATGAAATTTTCACCAGATGTTGGTAACAACCCAAGTGATCCATACATACAAAGAAATCAAACCATAAATGTCCAGAAATGAAGTTATTTGTAATAATGTGGAATGGCACAGGGAAAAAGTATTGAACACACTTACTGAAATTTATCTAATACTTTGTACAAAAGCCTTTGTTGTCAATGACAGCTTCAAGACGCCTCCTGTATGGAGAAACTAGTGGCATGCATTGCTCAGGTGTGATTTTGGCCCATTCTTCCACACAAACAGTCTTCAAATCTTGAAGGTTTCGTGGACCTCTTCTATGAACTCTGATCTTTAGTTCTTTCCATAGATTTTCTGTTGGATTCAGGTCAGGTGATTGGCTGGGCCATTCCAGCAGCTTTAGTTTCTTTCTCTGAAACCAACTGAGAGTTTCCTTGGCTTTGTGTTTGGGCTCATTGTCTTGCTGAAATGTCCAGCCACGTTTCATCTTCATCATCCTGGTAGATGGAAGCAGATTTTTATCAAGAATGTCTCTGTACATTTTCCACTCATCCTTCCTTCAATTATTTGAAGTTTGCCAGTACCATATGCTGAAAAATAGCCCCACACCATGATGTTCCCACCTCCAAACTTCACTGTTGGTATGGTGTTTTTGGGCTGATGTGCAGTGCCATTTGACCTCCAAACATGATGTGTATTCTGGCATCCAAACAGTTCAATGTTGGTCTCATCTGACCAGACTATATTCTCCCAGTATTACACAGGCTTGTTTAAATGTTGTGCAGCAAACTTTAAAGGAGCTTCAACATGCTGTTTCTTCAGCAGTGGAGTCTTGCGTGGTGAGCGTGCATACAGGCCATGGTGGTTCAGTGCATTACTTATTGTTTTCTTTGAAACAATCGTACCTGCTAATTCCAGGTCTTTCTGAAGCTCTCCACAAGTKGTCCTTGGCCCTTGGACAACTCTGGCTCTTGGACAACAGTGCTCACTGGAACCTTCAGAAGTTTAGACATTCTTCTGTAACCGATGCCATCATTATGCTTTGCAACAATAAGGTTGTGAAGGTCTTGAGAGAGCTCTTTACTTTTACCCATCATCAGATGGTTCTTGTGTGATACTTGGCCATCATTTGGGACTGAACCAGCTGATATTAACTTGCACTGACAAGGGGCAGGTTTGTTTTCTAATTACTGAGAGAGTTCAGCTGGTGTCTTGGCTTTCTATGCCTTTTTACACCTCCCTTTCTTCATGTGTTCAATACATTTTTCCCTGTGCCATTCCACATTACAAATAACTTCATTTCTGGACATTTATGGTTTGATTTCTTTGTATGTATGGATCACTTGGGTTGTTACCGACATCTGGTGAAAATTTCATGTCATTAGCGCCTCTAGTAATATATTTACTGAGAAAAAATGGTGACATGTTCAATACTTATTTTACCCGCTGTGTGTTCCATCAATGTTGAATTATTCAAAAAGGGCTTAAAAACCTTCTATTTCAAACAAGCTTTTAGTTCGATGTTTTGGCTAAAGTTGTTGAACCCAGTGCCTGTTGTGGTAGCTGAAGTTTTCTCCTCCCTTGGTCCAAGTTCGATTTACATTTTTCAGTAAATGTAATATGTAAATGTAAATGGGTTGGTATTTTATTTTTATTGTTGTCTTTTTGTTTTCATTTGGCCCAATGTTGTTGCTGATACACCTTTTTTGGGTTGGAAATACAGGACGGCTCCATGATATTTTTATTGCATTGTTGTATTATATATTTTTGTATTGTACAGCACTTTGTGAAGTTATTTCTAAGAAAAGTGCTTTATAAATAAAATTTATTTTCTTACTTACTACTAACTGAGTCTGACTCGTTTGTTTTCTCTCTGTCCATCAAAGCTCTTTATTACGAGGTTGTTTTGTTTTCCTATAGTTTTTTTTTTTTTTTGATGATTTTTGGTCAACAGTAGCACAGAAACGGCTGCATGATCAGCATGAAATTTGGCAGGAATGTAGATGAGTCCGACCTACACTGCACCCGCCAATGGTTTTATGATAGACCCCATATAGGGGAGGGGGCTCCATCTGAAAAAGTAACAAAACAATAAGTCTGTTCTGGTGAGTTCTGGTGCTTTAGGGTCATACATGTATCTATATTTTATGTAGGTGAATGAAACAGACACATAAAGGCCTGATTATTGTGACTTTTTGATTGTTTATGATGTTTTAATTAAATTAGTTTTTGCATAAACATAATATAGTCTGTGTTTATGAATGAATAAGTTCATTTTACCACATATTCAGGTAAAATACTAATATAAAAGGAGTAAATTGAAGTCAATCCTTAGTCAGAAAAAACAAATAAAAATGCCTCAGAAATCCTCAGTCTGTGTTCAGGAGAGGAATAAGTCACTCACTTGCCCTCGGAGCCGTAGCTGTTCATGCTGTCCTCGATGGACTCGTGGCTGGCCTGGCGGACGGTCCGACTGGGCATCTCCACAGCCAGACCCGTCTCTGTGCTCCTCTGGATGGCTCCCTTCAGCTTCCTGCCGTCTGTGTCCACTGCAGGGAAACAAAGCGGTGTGAGATGAAGCTGGCGTGCAAAGGAGCACAGAGTTAAGTGACTGTGAAAGCAAGCTTCGAGGATTTGTTTTCTTTCTTTAAAAAAACAAAACCTCCACTCTGTGCCTGCACTCCTCACTTGGAGCTGTTTCTGGTTTGGTGATCCGATCGGTGCAGGAGAAATCACTTAAACAAGGACACAGGAGAAAGCATTCGATCCCTCCCTGGATCAAACAGACGTCTTGTTGCAAAATAAACCACAAAATCAATAAGAGATGCAGAAAATCAGCCCTCTGTCTGACCACAGCCTGCTCACTGTGAGAGGCGACAACACTTCAGTTCATCCTAAAACCACCAAGTAGAAGATGTTTAACTTGACGTTTTACTGTTTTAAAGGCAGAAAATCAAGAAATAGAGTGAAATTATTTAAATAGGAGGATAAATTTGGGTTTTTTAATTGAAAAGAACAAAAAAAAAAGTAATTAACCAGGATAGAGAGATGAAATTTAAATCTAAGATTAAACAATTCAGAGAAAATAAAAGACTGCTTGAGGAGACCTACCACACACACACACACACACACACACACACACACACACACACACNCACACACACACACACACACACACACACACACACACACACACACACACACACACCTAAACACAACGTTAGAAAGTTAGTTCTGCAGTTCTGAAAGCGTGACCCAGAATGAAGCTATTTCCATCCTGTTCATGTGGGACCAGAGGCTGGTGGATCTGGGTTACCTCAGCTTCCAGAAAGTCACTTTTGTCTGCGTTCGACCACAAACCAACACATAAATGAACTCTTGTTATGTCAGAATAAGTCCTGAAGTCTGAGGTTCAGTCTGTGCTGATCTAGAAAAGAATTGCAATTAATAAAAAAAATTCCATCTTTATTATTTTACAGCTCATCGCTGAGACAAGTGGTCCAGGAGACAAACCCAGACCTGCCTCTCAGAGACTCTCCAGCTCCTCCTGGGGGACCCCAGGATATTTAATCACTCCTGCAAGTTCTGGATCTTCTGTTCTGGGGCTGAGGGTCACTCAGCTCTCAGGTGTACTGATTTAGTGCTTTAGTTATGTTTTCATCTGATCGTTTTCCAACATCTCTCTGCCGGCTTACTTTAAACTTCTTATTTACCTTTCAAACACAAAAAGTTGAGACAAAACGCAGCGGCCGTCCCTGCAGGAGTTAACGAGGGGCTCGTCCCTGCAGGAGTTAACGAGGGGCTCTGAATTCATGCCATCAAATTCAGATCGTAGCGTGACTCACTAACTCTTCCTCATCCTCTTCCTCTCTGACCTGATTCCTGCGTTTGAACACAAGCAGGTTGTGTTCGCTGCATCATGACTCACCGAGGCGCTTCCTTCACGCTAAAACTTGTTAAAAACATTTTTAATTCAATGAAGCTGTTCAAGTGGAAGATTTGTTTATTGCAGCTTTAGTTTGATTTTTACCACAAAAGGTAACATTGATGATGAATGTTAGAGAGAATGGTGCAGCCTAAATGACTCGTATGAACCGGCAGGTCAGGGGTTAACAAGTCTTTTTCAAGGTTATATTAGTTTTGGATTTTTCATTACAGTTTAGTTTTATTTTGTTTTGACTTTTTTTCTTTTAAATCAGTTAGTTTTAATTAGTTTTTACTGTGGATTTGCTCATTTTTATTAGTTAT